CATCCCCTCCAAGACTGTCACCATCTTATCAAATAATAAACCCTGGGTCACCAAGAAACCAAAGTCCATTATCAATAAGAAGAAATGGATCTTCTTCTCAGGGACAGATATGGAGAAGAAGGAGTTTAACAAAGAGGTCAAGAGGGTCGTTAAGATTGCCAAGCTCAACTACAAGAACTAAGTGGAGGAGAAATTTTCTCAGGGAAACCTCCGCTCAGCTTGGCAGGGCCTTAAGAGAGTGGCGGCTGTGAACTTGACCACCAGCAGCAACCCGGTACAGCACCCCAGTATCTCTCCCCAATGACCTCAATTTCTTTTACTCCAGATTTGAGACCAACAACTCCACTCAGCTAGTGGACATCAGGTCGAACCTCAAAACTGGCAACCCCCCCATACCTTTCCTCACCACAGACGTAATGATGGCTCTTAAGAGGTCTAAGGCCAACAGCACACCTGGTGTGGAAAACATCAGTGGCCGAGTCCTCAGACACTGTGCCAACCTGCTAGGAAGTGTTTTCCAGAACCTGTTCCAGATTTCCATCAGCATTGGAATTGTTCCCAAGTGGTGGAAACACTCCACTATTATCCCAATTCACAAGAGGAGCCCCCCCATGACCCTGAATGACCTCCGCCCAGTGGCGCTCTCCTCCCAGGTGATGAAAGCCATGGAGAGGCTAGTTAAACAACACATTCTCACCCTGACCAATTCACAGCTCGACCCACTCCAATTTGCATACCAAAGACACAGAGGTGTCAATAATGCCAAAGCCGTCATCATCGACACCATCCAGAAACACCTAGAGCGTCCCAACACATCTGTCAGGCTCCTGTTTGCAGACTTCTCCTCCGCCTTTAATATACTGCAAACCCACATCCTCGCAGAAAGACTCCACCAGAACTTCAACATGTGCAGTCAGCTCATACTCTGGATCTTGGACTTTGTCACTAACAGAACACAGCAAGTCCGGATCAACAATAACCTCTCTGATATCCTCACCACCTCCACTGGCTCCCCTCAGGGCTGCATGCTTTCCCTGCTGTTCTTCATACTGTACACTGATGAGTGCAGATCCACACAACCCAGCTGTCACCTTGTGAAGTTTGCTGACAACACAGTTCTCCTGTCCCTCCTGGTTGTCTCTATCTGTTGGCTGTGACATTCCAGTGACTCAACTAAACTGTGCTATAAACCAATAATTCTGGACCGACCAGAACTCATGCACCACACCCTTCCTATACACTGTTTATTATTAATTCTAGATTCACATTGCACCTTTGTACTTAATATATAATATTCTATTTTATTGTACTTTCTGCACTCTTATAATCCGTCCATCAATCCATTATTTATATAACGCTTAATCCTCACTAGGGTCGCTGAAGTCTATCCCAGCCGATTCAGAGCAAAGGCAGGGGACACCCTGGACAGGTCGCCAGTCTATCACAGGGCTACACTTAGAGAAAGACAACCAAGCACACTCACATTCACACCTACAGACAATTTAGAATCACCAATTAACCTCAACATGTTTTTGGACCTTGTGGGAGGATGCCGGAGAACCCGCAGAGAAACCCAAGTTCCTGACAGCAACAGTGTTGAATGTTGCCAAATTTCAAATTTCAAGAACTTCTGCAGCACACATTTCTGAAGACATTAATACTGATAGAAAGCTGTCTGCACAAGTGCATCACAGCTTGCAGTGTATGGGGCTACATGACCACAGATGGGTCAGAATGCCCACGCTAACCCCCTTTACTGTAAAAAAAAAAAAAAAAAAAGCCTACAATGGATAAGTAATGGGTAAGTCTCCAAGTCTGCCACTAATTACATTTCATATGTGCTACAAAGAAGGAATTTGCAGTAACACACAGAAAGCAAGAAAAATCAAAGAATCCATTTAGTGACAATAAAAGTTGTTGCCCCAAACTGTTTACATTAACCGGGCATATACCTATAAAATAGATTCCAGCTGATGCTGGGCTTTTGAGGCCAATGCAGATGCCAATTGTACAGAGAGAAAAGATGGGGGAAAATATATATATATATTTTGCTCTTTGTCCCGACTTGCCCCTTAGGGGATATTTGTTTTGAATCCTCTCACAAAGGGTCACAGCAATTATATACAGACTGTAACTTCAATGAGATAGAATGTCTGTGATGGGGAATTGGTTACCTTCTGGCTTTGTTTTTATGCAGGAAAATTTTACAGCTCATGAATTCTGGTTTAATAGTATACCACACGTTACCACTAAGACAGCAAAATAAAATGTCAGATCATTACTTAACTTGTGTTTATAGGGACACAAACTGACCAGTGCCACATATTACACTATTACAGTTTTCAAGAGTCATCTTTATATGGGCTTTCATCCACAGTTCTTGAACAAAACAAAAAAGAAAAAAAAAAAGAAGCACAAATTGTGACAATAAAACAACTGACTATTTAACAGATTTCTTTCCCAGATGAAAAACATGTGGACTATATTAGGATTAGGATTATTAGGGCCCAGGCACTATGGTGCATAGGACCCTCTTGAAACTTGAATTATTTCTTCTTCATGGCCACAAACAATCTCATTTTTGAGGGCCTAAACTTGCTCAAGAATTCATGAAAATTTACATACACATCAGAACTGTTGAAAAGTTTGATATTTTATGATTTTCGTGAATGTGTGTCTCAAAATGGCTCCATAGCGCCCTCTACAAAATTTGGAACAGCTGCTATGGGCAGAATGTTTCACCTACATGTACGAAATTTGGTCGGCATGTGTAGCACATATGGATGCACAAAAACAAAAAAGTCAGTGGGCACTATACCCTAAACCCAACAGGAAGTCCACTATTTGGATTTTTTTGTGAGGTTTTTGCTTTTTTTTTTTTGTCATTTTCAAAAGCAAACTCTTCATAGGAGATAATGCCAAGACACCTAAAATTTGACCTATACATACAAAAGGCCCTCATGATGAAAAATCTTCTATTTAAGTCTTTCGCAAAAGTCAAAGGGTGTGGCCATGGCAGCCCCCTGAAGTTTGATAATACGTCATCAAAAAGGAAGTGCTGTCTAACAACCCTGTACATGCTCCAATCTGCCTCAAACTTTCCATGTTTGATCAGTGTGCTGCCCTGATCACGTCCATATGCCAATATCCATTCACAGACACAGAGCCACCTACTGGCAACAGGAAATGACTTGTTTTACACTTTGACATCCTATTATTTGCCCGTTGACCATATTCACTTAAAATGTTGTGACATAAGCCTTGACAACTTCATGATAACTCGTGGAGAAAACAGTGCGTTTACGTCAAACAGTGTGTCTGTGACAGTGCGGCAAATTTTGATGGCATGACAACTTAAATGTTTATATCTCAGCTGCACATGGCTGAACCGTCACACATGATTGACAAGAGTCCATGTCTGAAGTCATCCACACTGTAAAACTGACTCATAGTCATAGCACCAGCTATTGGTAACAGGCAGTCTGAGGCATAACATTTGCAGACACACAATTGCTCCAAACTTTGTGATATCATCCTTGAAATTGGTCAGCTAAATCTCCCCACCTTGACAATGCTATGCTACAGTATGAAGCTTTTGTGTTTTCATGCAATGAGGTCACCGTGGTGACACATCTTCGCCGTGACACAGGAAGGACTTTTTGACAGGAATGCTCATAAAGTCACCAAAATTGGCATACGAGTCACTATTGGCTCAACGACAGACAATCTCTGCTTGTCTGGCAAAATGGCTCTATAGCGCCCCCTGCAGCAATTTATCTATTAGCCCCCGCAGTACGTTTAACCTACATCTACGGAATTTGGTAGGCATATGTAGCACATCAGGGTGCGCAAAAAAAGCCTCTTGGACCCATACTGTAAACCCAACAAAAAGTTCAACATTTTGAATTAACTGTATGATTTATATTCAAGAGCGAACTCCTCCTAGGGGCTAAGTCCCAGAGAGCTGAAGTTCGGTAGTGTGTAATGTACACCTTGAAGGTAAAAAGTTCTCAAAGGTCTGCATTTCATTAACGAGTGTCGCTGTGACATCCCTCTGATTTGTGATCATTCGCCATCAAAGAGGAAGTGTGTCTAACGACCTTGTACATGCTCCAATCTGCCTCAAACTTTACATGCTTGATCACAGTCATGCCCTGATGAAACCGATATGCCAATATCCATTCACAGTCATAGCGCCACCTGCTAGCCATAGGCAAGAACATGTTTTACACTTTTATGTGCTAATATTAACCGTATCAGCCTCAAATGTGGTGACGTGAGTCTTAAGACGTTGATGATGACTCATGGTGAAAATTGTGAGTTTTTGTCAAACGGCGTGTCCGTGGCAGCCCTCTGAACTTTGATGCGTCGCCATAAAAGAACAAGTGCTGTCTCCCTGCCCTCTGCATGCTGCACTCTGCCACAAACTTTACATGTTGGCTCCCAGTCCCACCCTGATGATATTCTCATGCCATTATCTTTTCACAGTCACAGCGCCACCTTTTGGCAATGGGAAGGGACACGTTTTACACCTGTATTTGCTATTATTTGCCAGTTGACCGTACCAACCTCAAATGTGGTTAAGGTTATGATTATGTGATTGTCACTTTGCACAGAGCGCATTTCTGCCACAACCCTGATGTACACCTCACCTCGACATGCGTCACGTCTGACGCGTGGAAGTGCGAGGGCCCGTTCATCACTGCTTGTAGCTTCAATGAAATTTATGTTCACATTTCACAAAAACATGTCTTGGTTGTTGTCATGTTTGTACACGAGAAAATTGGTCACTGTAACAGTTCCTGCTGTACATACTATCCTTGAGGTCTCCTCTTGACTCACTCACTTGATGCGCTCATCTTTTCAAATTCTTTTCAGAGTTCAGGTGATCATTACCCAGCAGACATTTCACACATTAAGTCCATGTTAACACTGAATAGAAAACTGAATAGAAAAACAAACTAACTTTGTGCTGACATTGCACTGTTTGTCTTTTGCAGTTGCAGAAGCATGATCGAGAAGATGAGGACATTCCCTCTAAGTGGAGATCAGAGGAAGAAATGGCAGCAGAAGCTTCAGATTTAAGGAAACAACTCTAGACATAAAAAATGGTAAAGGAGATAAACAACCTATGCAGTTTATATCTTTTAAACTGCATAGATAATATTATTGGACTATGGTCTGGCCTAAAATATCTCACCAATCACTAGATTGAATGTCATTAAGCTTTGTACGGAAATGTGACACCTCTGGTGTCTGACTTGTAGTGCCATTAATAGATCAGGGTTTTAACGTTTTCTGGAAATATTTAATAATGAACACTATTTGTGTAAAGGCATACAATTTAAAACAAAATTAAATGGTGAGCAGGAAATGTGTTCCAGAGTCAGAGTTTTCCTTTGGTGCCAGCGTAAGGGGCGTTTGTCGAGTGAAATAGCAACTGAGACAATTACTGGTTGGATTACTATTGTCACCAAAGCATTCAGACTCCTTCACTTTTGCACACTTTATTGCATTATAACTTTAGTTTAAATAAAAACAATCACTATTTTCCCCAACAATCTATGCTACATCCATGTGTTCCATCTATGTTTACAGAAATTTCTAAACATATATACACTGTGTGCACAATTATAAGGCAAGCGATTGTTTTGACCATATCATCATTTTATCCGTAATTTTCCAACTCCAAGCTGTACAAACTAGAATTTGTGTAACGAGGGAAGTTGTGGCCTCAGGAGATCAACACCCTATATCAAGGTGTGCATAATTATTAGG